TTTTGTCTGAGAGCCCTGTGGTGGTGAATGCCAAAATCTTCGTGAAAACTGTGTAACTGGAGATTAAGCACAAATTTGTTCTTAAGAACATTTGGTGAATGAGCTCCAATGAGTGCAAAGTCAGTTGATTTACTACAGTAGCTGGCAGTGGCGGCTGGTGGATTTTTTTTTTTGTAGGTATGATTCAATGCAAAAAAAAGGTATCAAACATGCACTCTAAATAAAGATTTTTACAGATTTCTTTTGAGAAAATTATCAGAACAATTCTGTTGTTGTTGGCTTTCTTCCGTAACAAAACACCAATTCATAAGAAGGCACTGTGCAAATATTGTTGGGTACATAAGTACTGTTCCGATTTTTTCTACTTCTTTGGAAGTGGCTTTGAATACAAAATGTCAACCTTTCTTCAACTGTGATGATATAATGAAATCTGGTCGGATACCAGCGATATTCCATAAACTGAGCACATCGAGTATATTAGATTTAGTGTGAAATGGTGTCTCCAGATTGCACATTCTGACCTGATCACCACAGAACGGGAGAGTGGGGATGATGATGAGTACATTTCCTGTGAGTGCAGAGAAAGCTGACCGCACATGGACGGTCAAACCCATCAGTCAGACCAGCGGGTCTTTAGTTCACAACCCTGTCTCACTCAGCTGAAATCAAGAGGACTCCCCCCAGGGAGGAGCAGTTCCTTCACATCATGGCTTGTCAGACAGAAAATGGAAGCGCATGGATCAATACAACAGTGCCTAGCCTGATTTTTCCAACAACGCTAAGACAAATTTGTCTCAACAGATAAGGGCTGGGAAGAGCTCACATGTATGTAGAGATGCCATGTTTATTACTAGAATCCGGTGAGAGCCTGTTGGTGCGGGCCTGAACTTGTGTAAATGAGTGGACCCTTAAACCCACTGAAGGGCAGGATGTGGCAAATGGGTAGAGAGGGTGCGCTGGGAACCGCAAGGTTGGTTGTTTGAGCCCCAGCTGCTCCATGTCCCATTTCGAAGTGTCCCTAAGCAAGACACATTGCCCCTAATTATATATACGTAACTTCCAATAATTGTCATTCGAGGTCACTTGGTCTGGGTGCCATCCATATGCAAAAACGTTCAATATATCTGTAGTTTCCCGAAATCAGGTCTGGGGGGGGCACGGGGGTAAGATTTAACCTTTTTATTCATCTCTTTTTTTGCAATTGCAAATTTCTTTTCTATAATTTTGATAATTTGTATCAACAAATACCAGTTTAATACATATCCATATGTTAAATACAAACAATATAATGTTTAATACAGCACCAGGACATAATAGGGGAGTAGGGCACTCACTTGTTTTTTGACATTTTGAAAAATTGTTGCAAATAAGCACAATCTTAAAAACAAATGCACAAACTACATAAACTCCACTGCCCTTCACAGTCCTTGGGACGCTTTTTCGATGAGACACCGACTGTTTGTTTGCTGACTCTTTGCTAAACAGAGCACTTTACAATGAATGCACTGGATATAGAAATCAACTCTTTTGCTGGAGCAATAAAAATAAAAATATGTTTTGTGGAAATCTTTGTAGGAATGAATGGGGAGGTTAATGTGGTTTAATCACCAGTTGGCTGCATGGGATACTCTGGAATAACTTCTAATCAAATGATTCACGTGGTAAATCTGGTAAATAAAGACATGATAGAGTTCCCTCTCTGGGAAGTATTTCCTTGCAACAAAAAGAGTCATTAGACCGGCCTGCGACATTTCCTTGGAGTTGCATGAGTCAATCTGAACTCAAACACAGGTGGCTTCTACTCCACACCTTTAAATGTCAAGCCAGTCAAGCCTGTCCGTCAAAGGCGTTGCCCCGCCCCTTCTCATGTTTTGGGCCAATTTTGTCAGTGGCTTTGCTTTTAGAGTGAACCATAAAGAGAGCGGCTATAAACAGATTTGAATAGGTCTCAGCTCATTTGCGTTTGTCTTTGTGAACTGGTTGGGGTGGGGGCAAGAGCGATGGCTAACGCAGGGTCCGTCACACCTACAGGGTCCGTCACACCTGTAGGGTCCGTCACACCTGCAGGATCCGTCCCACCTGCAGGGTCTGTCCCACCTGCAGGGCCTGTCCCACCTGGCACTCTGTGGCCGCGAGGAGAGAGAGCTACAGCGATGCTCACACGCGCCTCACAAGTCTCTCTCTTACTTGAAGAGTGAACCGCTTCAAAGTTCCTGGAATGACTTTTTTGGATGATTGAACGTATGGGAAAGAAGGAAATTGAAATCTGCTCGTCACATCTGGTCCTGAACCAGTAAAGAGCAAGATTGAGGGACGGCAAACAACAGGGGAGCCGAGTTCATTCTAATCCATTCCACTGGTCACATAGAGAGACAGTGAGGGAGCCTTGGTTGAAAACGTCATTTAAAAAACCCGGAGGGGGTTGGAGGGGCAACAAACAGCTAAAATTAGCTTGTCTTGCTTTGGAACGCTGCATCCCACCTGTCAGTGGCCAGAAATGCTAATTTCTTCTGAAAATATCACACTATGTATGTAAAAAGAAGTTCATTGTTTTTAGTGTTTTGAGTTTTAACAGCTGTCCCACACTATTCTTTACATTTACTTGCATTAAGTAAAGCTGAAAGAGACAGGCGCTAAAACTGAACGTTTTAGACAGAAGGTGAATACAGGGATATTCACACAGACCATATGAGAAAAATGATATGCTTTAAGTTGCTTTTAATTGCTTTATTTTGCTGTTAAGGTGGAAACACTGAATACAAGTATGAGTGCTGAAATGAGCATAATGTCTCCTTTAAAGCACTAATGCACAAAGGGTACGTTATTGTTATAATGATCCAGATATTATTAATGGGAACTAGCTCAACCTCTATCCCAGATATCAAGCTAAACACAGAAAAATGGAGCTGCATTTCAACATTTCCTGTAGTTTTTTTTTTAATGACAACAATAACAATATGCACACAAAAATTCAGCAATACCCTCAAAAGTCCAGAGCCACTTAATCAGGTGCAACGCAAGATATTATCCGCTTGCTCCCTGTGTTTGTATGGTGAATTAATTAGCTGTGACACACCAGTCAGGAACGCCATTGCTCTTCGGTGTCTTCATCGAACATCACAGCGCTCCTATGATTTCAGCCCGCCATTAAGAGCGGCGTTAACAACACATGCCCTTTATTGACCGTACATCCTGGAGCATTTACCCCTCCCCCCTCCCTAGAGTCCATCTCAGGCTTAGTTCCCTCCCATGCATCCGTCCATGTCTTCAGCGGTGAAAATGGACGCATGGGAGGGATGTTACGTTGGGAAACTTCTTCGTATTCACCTCACAGTCGTTCAGCTGCACCATAAGGCGCAGGTGGAACCTGCAGGCGGAACCGCCAATGGCTGAAGAAATGTCCCTTTCTGAAGCCAGTGTAAAAAAAACAAATCCAGCAGCCTCGCCTAATTGATATGATACAGAGATCCCACTGTTTTATATGCTGACACACTCAATAATATCACCAGTGTAATCTGTGAACAACTATGTCCTAACATCTTGTATTTTTGTGGAACTCCCTTGAGAAACAACTCATTTACACAGACAACATAAAAGACGTGGACATATAGTCATCGTAACCTCTCCCATTGGATTCGCCTTTCTGCATTGGCCAACTTGGATTTTTGCAACCTTTCAACAGAGATCATTTGGAGCGGGATGGAGTGACGTGCAGAATCTGTATACAGCTCCAATAGGAGCAGCAACCTGTCAATCCAAAGGTGACCACGCCCTACAGCATACCATGCTATACGCTCTTTTTTTATTCACAATGTTTTTTCTTCCCTTTACCGAGCACAGGACTTACCTTATTTAGCCTAAGCACAGAAAACGTTATAGCTGCTGGTCATAACATCTTCCTTTCGTCATGAGCAAAACACAGAACCTCTCAGAAAAGGTTGCTTCTGACAAAGCAAGAACTGTGTTTTAAACCACAAAACAAATTATAAATAACTCTACAAGTAGTATGCAAGTCATGCGGATTGGGAAGTCATCACTTCCGGCCTGTTTCATCATTCATTGTTTACTGAGGACAGTCTTGTGTGACCTATGTAGCCTCCAGGGAGACAACGGCATGCTGGGAACATCCTCTGTTTATGGCCGGAGATAGAAGCTTGTTGTCCTTGGTGTCCAAGACACACACACACACACACACGATGTGTTCAATGTGACTCACCTGGTACAGCGCATTGGGAGCTTCAAAGGAGAAAAGCTGCTTAATGTGATGCAATTGACAGCGTCAAGGTTACAGGAGAGGCATCATGCGTTCAGTTCATGAGTAGAAGATGAGACCTCTGTCCACAAATGTTTGTATGTCTCATCCAGATTCATCCCACGGAATTAACCATTGATCTTAAGTGAACATGGAAATCCAGTTAAGTTTGACTTGAGGCTGAATAAGAATGTTTGTGAAATGATAAGAAGAATGTGGTTTATTGGTTGGTAAGTCCATTTGGTCGAGACTAGAGATTTGAACTGTTTGAATCAGTTAACCAGAAAGGACAGTTTTGACCAGTGAGCATGTCGGCCTACAGGTTGATTCAGGGTCTGTATGTTTATTCAACCAGATGGCCCAAAAAAACATGGAAAGTCAATTAGGATCCTTTTTTTTTGTGGTGGACACAAATAAAATGTGACAGTCAGCTGGCAACGCAGAACTTCATTTAAAAGAAGGTGGGGAAGGTGGATGGATTCAACAAACCCAAGACTTTTCTTCAACATAAGGCTAATAATAATAATATAATAATAATAAACAAAGCAAAACATTTACAACACAAAACATAGAAACTGGATAATTAAGTAATATATATATAGCTGACAAAGAGAAATTAGCTAAAGGAGACGTGCAACACAGCTTTGTGTAAAACATTCCACATTCCAAAGTGTCAACAGCAAGCTATTGGGAGCACATTGAGGCGCCCTGAGCCCAATGCAGCAAGTCAGCAGGAATGCGTGTAAGTTTTGTCTCATGACGCGCGCGAGAGAGAGAGAGACCCGCGCTTGACATCAGAGAGCGCAACGCGGAACCACGGGCGGTGGGTGAGAACTGGCTGCTTCTCCCCAGAGCATCCTCCCTCCGCTCATCCCATTATTCTCAGTCCCGTGACACCGGATGCTGCGGTCCAACCCGAGAGGAGAGTACGCATCTCCAGTAAGAGCTACGTAGGAAGTCTGACGTAGAAGGGGAGGGAGCGGGAGAGAGACGGGACACTCGGATGCAGGAGTAGAGCTGCTGCTGGCTTTGGGAGGCAGCGATGACGCAGACACACCGCCTCCCTTGTTCACCCGGAACGTGCTTGTCATGAAGATCCGACGCTTTGCCTGTGTCAGAGAGTCCTCCGCAGTAGGAGAGTCAGAGAGAATTAAAGGGAAAGTGGATAGAAATCCAGTAAAAGGCCGGAATTAAAAGGTCGGCCTTGTGTAAGTGCAGAGCTAATCATTTGGTTTTATGTCGGCCAACCTCATGGCAACAGCCAAAGGATGTACACCGCTGTTTCGGGCGTCGCCATGAGGTTGATCGGCCAAACCCCGATACATTGGAATCATGACAGATTCTAATGGGCCCATTAATGAATCATTACGAGCGGACACCAATGTGTGGCAGCTACAGGGTCACTGATGTCCCCAATGGATGTGGCTCCTCTCCAGCAACAACCCCCCCACCCGCCCTGGCAAGCTGTCCGCTACAGTATATCCTCCACCCATTTCTCAGGCATTCACAGCGGGCACGGCGAGGCAAGGAGATGGGCCTCGGGGCCGCAGGGCCTCGTGACCCACTTACAACCCCCCCGAGACTGATCGGCATCGGCCTGCCAGTTACAGTTATGTAACTGATGCTGGGAAAAGCAAGGAGAAGAATTACAAGAGTAAAAAAAAAGAAAGGAGTCCAATGTCTACCAGTGAAGGTAATATATGACATATGCTGTATATATAGATACATCTTTATATATATTGCATGGGCAAAATATATGTATTTTTTGGGTGGCTGACATTATTTTCTTATTTATTTACTTATTTGTTTTTTTTAAATAAATAAGTAAATAACAAAACATCTGACTCAAAATGAGTTTTGGACTCATCCAATATTTAGACTTCATTTACATATTAAAATATAACATTTCAGAAAGCGAAAAATGTAGTGTAAGGCGATATCTATTAGTTCATTTTGTTACATTTTGTTGTTGGTGTTATAGCATAATGCCTGATATTATATTATGGATCCAACTCTACATGTCTCAGAAGGGGTCCAAGAATTGCTCCAAGCACACGGCCCAAATATAGTTGCATATTTTGTCGTTTTGATATCTCACAATGAGGATCAGCAACCTTTTTCTGGCATTTAGCACCTCTGAGCTGCATCGCTGAAGACACAATATGTTATCGCGTTTGTTGCACTCCAACGTCACATTGGCGTAACAACAACCAACCACCAGCCCAAGCTTGATTGATGTGAAGTGTCTCATTATCTGCATATTCCACTTCCTGCTGTTGGGTGGTGGGTCGAAGAGCCTTTGCTCTGTCCATGGAGATGACTCGTTTTTATCTCTTTCCTGCATATACTTCTTTTTATGATGAAGCAAAGGAGTTCATTGGCCCACACCGCCCACATCAGAACAAATCAAAGCTGGTTGAAAATTGGCAAAGGATCTCGTTAAGATTACAGTCTATATTATTCATTCTCATTTCTGATTCTGAATGAACAGCCATGTGCTTTCCATATTACGAATGCATAGGAGCGTCTTCCAGCCTTTAATCAGCACTGTGCCTTTACAGTTTGTGCACAAGAAAGGGCACACAATGGCTTGCCGCCCCCCTGGAAAACCGCCCGCTCAAGACAACTCGGTGCGCTCTTTGAAGAAAGGAGTGAAGCTAAATAACAAATCAATAAAGCATCAAATCTAAAGCATCAAAATAACAAAAAATAAATTGACCTGCAGTATGCAGGGCTAAAAGAGAGAGGGGGAAGCATCCTGGAAACAGCAGCCCTGCAGGTCACCGGTTTGACCCTTGAACCCTAACCTCTTGTCTTGCTTCCTGTGGTCACGCCAATCTCGCCTCATAGGGCACTGAAGTAATTTTTGTAATTTGGTACTAAAGGAGATAATAAGGATTTAATTGTGGACTGAACCCTTCCCAATGGCCAAGGGCGTGGCACACACACACACACACACACACACACACACACACACACACACACACACACACACACACACACACACACACACTCGCACACCTCCTCACACACTGACAGGTCCTGGTCTCTGGGGAAGTATGAAGAGAGGCAGAGCCAAGCAGGGCTGGAATTCACTAATTATCTCCAGATTTCCCCAGAGGGCCCACGGCTCAACAACGTCCTCAATGTTTCTATTTTCAACAAAAGAGGTAATACCAAAATAGAAATGTAATTGTTGTTTCTATGTCAGCCCTTAAAAGGACATCACTCAGCTTGTGTGATGTTGTGTTCAGGGGCTCGTCAGAGAGGATCATCCCATCAGATGGGATCTGGGCGGGATGTCGGATGCTCACACTAATACCACGATTCTGCTGCTGTTACACGGTTTATGAATCAGTGAGTACACTGTATACGACATCTTGGGGATGAATGTTTTACTGCACTTCATCAGCTCTCGGCTCCTCACGTGAGCGAATAAGAATAAGAATAAGAGGACTACCAGGTTTCACACACTTTTGAATGTATGCAGATTTTCACTGCACCGATCGGGGGAATTAGACTCGACCAACTCCAATCAGAGTGTTAGCAATGCTAACATGGTACGGCTCTCGTTCCACCACAACAGTGCAATGGATTGACATCCACGGTCCCCAGAGGATGAATCCTACGGACTACTGAAGAGAGTCGGCTCTGATGGACATTTTAGCATGTTGCCAAGCTAACCTGATGTTAAGATGTTCGTCATGGTCAACATTCGACCTTTTGAACATATTTGTTTAAATATTTTTACTGTGTGCATGTTAACAAGGTACTGTTAGCAATACAGTGTGACAGTTGTAGTAGTCTCAACAACTAAGTTGTAACACAAACTGTTTTTTGTTTTTTGTAGATGAATGCCCTCATTGGACAGTCACCCATGGAGTAAAAAATTGACATTTGAGGTGCAAATCATGCACATTTTCAACAGTTTGTTTTTACAATTACCATTATATTATTATAATTAGATTATATTTGTGTGATCAGGTTTTATTTTTTCTTCCTAATACCAGTAACATATAGCATAAACTGAGTATTCAGTAGTAACTGAAATGTTTGAAATGAACACTCTCATCACATTGCATACGCAAGCACAATAATTACATTTTACATGAATATTTTGCGCAGGCCCCCACTGAGAGACACCTACGCCCATCACTGCGGGCAAGCACCATCCCCACCGCGGCTTTCCCCCTCATCACTCCGCTCCGCTTCTCGAGCTGTGATCTGATTGGCTGTTGGAGGGGTGAGGCTCACTGCAGAGGCAAGAACAGCGGGTGCAGGGTGGGGTGGGCTTCCCCCTCTAGGCACGACTCACACACACATAACCAACCACCCACCTACACACACACACACACACACGCAGGGAATCCCTCCTCACTGTTTGCCGCATGTCTCGTTTTCCATTACACGCCGCCATCGAATCGTTCACCGCATAATCACGTTGGGAAGCAGTGCGCACCAAATGTGATTGAGTGGTTTTGGTAATCTGAGGTTTCTTTTTTCTTCTAAGGTTTACCAGATTTCACCTTTTGTCAGGAGGAGTTTGAGCGTGACTCCCAGCGCTGTGTTATTTATAGGGGGGGTCTGGGGTCCAGAGCTGATGGTTATGCACGGCTCTGCCATCACAGGGTAAGACGACACACACCGGGAGGCAGCTGTCGAGCTAAGCTTGGGTTTCACTGATGTGTGAGATTGGCGGTGTTTGTTTGTGACAGCAGCGAAGTTGGCATGAGGGAGCCCCCAGTGGATTGGGAGAGGGACGTATTTCCAGTTCTGTGTTGTGAGGGTGTGTTTGTGTGTTGTGAATGTTAGTATGCGTGCGTCAGAGGGAGGAACACAGACACTGAAAGGGCACAGCGACCTTTTGTATACTGTTAAAATGTATAAACATTCTCAATGTGAATGTGGGATATTTATACTGGTACGGACGGGTTAATGTTTTAGGAACGAAAGGATGCCACACAACTGTGGGTTTCTACAGTGCCATTATTTCAGACAAAGCTACTGATGTAGCTAGAGAGAGTATGTCGTGTGACATAAAAGATACATCTCATGCAAAAAGCAAATTTATCAAATTAAATGTTAATGCGTTGTAAAAAAAAAGAATATAACACAACATTAATGTGGATTTGTGCATTTTGCCTTTTGGAAAGCCCACTGCACTGCAGCCCTTCTAATAATAACTGACCGTGATATGAATGGAGAAGTCCATATTTGGTGAAGGAGCACGGAGGTGGGGGGTTATCTCATGCCCTAACGGTCACAGATGACATCAGTCTGGACTGATCTGGACACTCTTACTCTCCCCCTTATCTGCGAGAGAGACGAGGGTTGCGGTAGTTGTGTTGTGGCCGTGCACGGTGCCAGGAAGCGCGAGGCGGCCCGAAGCACGGCCACACTGTTACCCGAGGAATGGGAGGAATGTTTGAGGACCCAATGTGAGAGACACGCGGATCCCTTCGGCTCTGATGAAATCATTTAAGACCAGTTGTGGGTTTTTAGATCAGGTGATTACAATGCGTGTGTGTTGTGTGCGAGTTCGGTCGTCAGGTGACTGATGGCAGGGCCATCGATAAGACCTGTAAAGCGATCAGCTGATTCCTTCAGCCCCTATTTTTAGAAAGGAATGTGTTGCACACGGTAAAACATTTCAAGTCAGTTAAACATGCAAATGAAAGTTCACCTGCTGCCTTGAAAATGTGAGTCAACAAAATGTGAAGATTGCCTTTGATTTAACCCACAAATCAAAGTTTATTAAGTTGATTTAATTGAAAGGTTCTAGTTGTCTCAACTGTTTACTGTCTAAGTTGTTTTTTTTCACTTCTTGTTTGAACTTGATATAGCGAGTTAAAAGAAAAGAATTGTTTTGCATGTACCTGACTGACTGTTTGCTTTAAAACAAAAAACCTAAATCATCCATAATTCTTACTTCTGATTTAAAAAATAAAGCATTCATTTGCTGAAAATATACACAAGATTTACAGTTGTGTTTAAGTACATCTCAAACATGCAAACACCCAGATAGTTTAAAAACAAGTGCACAACGTACAAATAGAGGCAATCCGACAGAAGGTGGGGTTGTGGACTTAAGAAGGTGGGGTTGTGGACATTTTCGTGGACCTCTTAATTATCTTCCATTTGTCACTATACAACCATGAGATAATTAGAGGAGGTCCATGAAATCAACCATGAAAATGTTCTTTACTAATACCTCAGACAGTCCATAAAATCAATACAGTTATACTTATACAAATACACACAATATTAAACATTATATTAACAAATGACCTATGTTGACAACCATGAGGAAAAATATGAGATAATAAATGTAGGTTCATAAAATCTCAATATGACATTATAACAAATCACCTTGCAAAATGTGGAATGCTGAGAACTTCATGAATTAGTTCTTACTTTTTTTTCTTTGTTGTAATCTCTTCTTGTGTTTAAAAACCAACCTGAACTTACAGAACACTTTGGTAGGTTTTTAACTTTTACATTCATGAACCAAACATGACGTGCGTAACAGGCGACGTCCAAGTAGTTTGCATTGTTGCTGATTATTGGTACGGTTTAATGTCTATAACGACCTTTTCAAGGAACTCAAAGGTCAACTTCAGAATTAAATATTCAATTTAAAAAAGAAGTTAAATAAAGATTTGAAGAAAAATAACGTAAAGGTAAATACATCAGCAGCTAAACAACTGTTACATTAGTAACATTAAACATTATGTTAATTAAGAACTAGACAATGCTTGCTGAATGCGTTGGAATGAGATTGAGGAAGAAGGATTTCAAAGTTGAAGAAGTTCTAGGGGGATTTGAAAAAGATCTCCATTGAAAAAACATGTTAAAAATATAAATATTAATTGATGTTAAATCAAGCATAAAATGTACAAAGCTGAAAATGAATATCTTACTGGGTCGACGGTTTTAAGAGCTGAAAATTTGAAGGAGCTGAAAACGTTTGAAATATGCATGGAAGAAATAGAAAGATAAAGAGCAAAATAAATTGAGTCATAATACTGTAAGTTTAACTTTCGAGAAGAGTTTATATACATCTCTTCCTTTTTCGCATGTCCTTAGGTGAAATGCCATCTTGCGTCATGCCCGGTAGGAAATTGTAATTGCTCATGACGAGTAATCGTACAGCCGTGGCTGATGTGAATGAGTTAAGTCTGGCAAAGCTATGAAAATGTATAAAATGTTAAACAAATGACTTTTTACCTATTAATGTCACTAGGTTGAGCCAGAATCCGGCAGAATCCTCCCCTGGGGATTATGAATATCTGGATAAAAATTATATTAATGTTATATTGTATATTGTACCTGCTGAAGGTGTCCTCTCATCAATGTGTGAATGATGATTTGTGTTTTAAAGCGCTTTGAGTGGTCAAAAGACAGTAGAAAAGTGACATAAAAGCACAGTGTTTTTAGTCTTTTCAGGAGATTTTATGCCAGTAACAAAAATAAAGATTCCCGCCAACCATGCACTTTTATGGAACAACGGGTTCAGGTCATTATTCCAACACATGAATAAAAAAAGGATCTGTACCACGACTTTGCTAACTAGATCAGATTTGAATGTACTTGTTTCTTCAGCATTCCAGATTTTGTCAGCATCAGCTAATCAGAGATGTGCTTGACAGAAGGAGACCTGGGGGATGTGTGTATTCATCATGCTGACGAGTGTGTGTGCCATGTGTTGATCGCATGCAGAATACATAAATTATGTTATGTTAATTATGCATTTTCGCTCCATATATTCAGCATGTGTCAATTTTTTGCACCACCGCTGGCAGGATAATTGGGTGTATTGCAAACATTTTTAAACATTACTTTGTCTGAAGGATCTCCACCAAATGTGCCAGAACAGAAGATAAATGGTATTATACTTTGGGCCAAGACACAAGTAGATGCAGTTTGATTCATTTCTGTCCCAACATTTTTTGAAGGGTTCAAATTACAATAATTCTTCAGAAAGTGGCAATCAAGCCTCCCCTGTCATAGCAAGAAGGCCAGCTGTGTGAAGGAATTTGAAATAGTTAATCAAAGTGGTTTTCATCATTATAATTTTTATATATTCAAATTCTGGCTCCACCCACACGTAATTGATTTGTTTTTGGCACTGAAATGATAGATCTTCAGCTGTGTTGTCGGCCACGTATATCCGTGGCATTGAGGCTATCCGTCAATGCACGTGCATGAAGACACGCAGCCTTATGTGTTCCGTATCCATGGCAACGGGGCTCATCCATTAACCCTTCGCTCAGAAGAGTATCTCGGGTAGACAGGCAATGATGTATTTTCAAGTGAATGCAAACACCATCAGCAAGAACAAATACACGATGGGGTAATTTGCTGACGTCCTGTTTGCCCCAAGGGGACCAATATCCCCCCAAAATCGTTTCGGAGTACTGAGTAAACTTTGCACAGTGTTAATTGTGTTTGAAGTTGCTTTGGAGCCAAACATCATCAGACGCGTCAGGCTCGCGGCTGAAATCTGCTTTCTTTCATTGTCATAACCGCCATTTTCACTCACCTTCTCCAGCTCCACCTGCTCTCCCTCTCTCCTCGACCTGTTCCTCTCAATTCGTTTCATCAGTCAGAGGCAAAATCCGTTACAGAGAGACAGTGTGTGGTCAAAGGCCGAGTGTTTCCAGAGAACATGCCTAAGAGATTCTGTACGGTATTGTATCATTTGTTCAGCGACTTTATGCATTTTTGGTGATTTTTTTTGCGGCCTTTCTCCATGAAGGTCGAAGGTCAGGGTCAGATACAGTGCACCCTTCAGGTAAGCTTATCAATAGTTAGTGCTTTCCAACATGAAGGTCAAAATCCCGCCATCTCTTTAAACATGTGACCTCCCGGCCCTGATCCGCCCCCCTCCCCCGTTCCCCAGGGCCGACGCTAAGCTTCCTACCTACAATCTGTCTCTCACGCCCATCCACACACACACACACACACACACACACACACACACACACACACACACACACACCTTACACCACATGCTCAGAGAATACATTGGGCGACAGGGAGATGAAAGCAGTGAGAGATTTGTCACGACATCCTCACTGCTTGCAGGTTCATATCATGGTGAAAGGCGTGAAAGTAACCAGTAATAGATTACAAATAGTTGATCAAGAAATGAAATATTTAATTGTGTGGTCATAGTGATAATGTCTGCTTATGTTGTGAACGCTACAACATATTTTTGAGTAAAAAGTAAAAATAAGACCTTTTACAAATATAAAAAAATATGTAAATGTCCATATATCAGTAGCTATTATACATGTTAACATATGCAATCTGAAAACAATGGATTTCTCCTACAACACACATGAACTGACTTTTTTCATTCCCTCTCATAACAATGGAGACTGATCTGATAACACTACTTGATCATCCAGTTCAACAAGATGAGCAAGATGATAAGTTAAGCATATTTTCCCTGTACAAGAAATCCACGAGCAGCATGATATGGAAACGAACCCTCAGGTACCAGTTTACTGGAGAGCACTTGTGTCAACATGTCCCATGTGGAACCACAAATGTGACTGAAACAAACAGAATTGCTTTCGTATTTCCACTTTTATTTAAATATGGATAATTATGGCAGTATCCATAGATACACATCACCAGCCCTATGCAAGTTAGATAAAGGTCACATGGGGTCAGGTGACAGTCAATGGCCCATTTTTGTACAATATATATAGATACATGTTTATATATATATTTACTGTCATCAATGGCCCCCAATGCTAAAAAAAACTCTGCCTATATATATATATATATTTATTAAACATGAGGTGGAAGTGGGTGTCCCTCTTTGTGTTTCTCTTTTCACAGTCACACACAACCCCCCACCACTCCAGGTCCCCAGCAAGACCCTCTGCTGATCCACAGGCGTTGTCACGGCCGTTGAGAAGGCGGGGCCTGCTTGGGTTCAGCGAGGGCGTTTAAAAAAAGGGGCCCGTAGGCGGTGAGGCTGCGTGTGGTGTGTGTTTGGGGGGAAGCGAGAAGGATTATTCGCTGGGGACCAATAGTGTCTGGGGGATGCGGGCGGAGATGTGCATGTTCTGCCAGCTCAGCAGCATCTTTTTAAGAGCTTGCTGACGGTGTTAACAATTGAACCATCCACTGTAATACACCAGAAGAGAGGGTGGGGGGTCAGTGCGTGTGAGACAACGTGGCGGTGACCTCGGGGCGGCTCTCCCCGACCGGTTGTAGCGCAGACGCTAGAAATGAGCACAAAGACCGAAAAGGGCTCCTTTCCATCTTCATCACTTTTCCACCCCTTCCCCCGCCCCACTAATTCCCCATCTTCTATCTAACCCCCATATGTGTAGATGTGCACACATGGTGACACCCCCCCACCCTCCACGGATGTACAACTCCCCCCACAGTGCTTTCATTTCATCCCTCAGCTCATTTACCACGCGGGCACTAACCACCCAGTGGAAAGCAGGTCTGAAAAAAGGCATGAAAAAAAATATAATCATCATTAAGGCATCATAAGAACCCAAGTTCTGTACTCACAGAACCGAACTTCCATTTCACATGTATACATATTTACTTTTTATCAGTACTCATCCCAAAATAACAAGTCATGAAATAAATATGTATAATATATGTTGATTTCATGAATAAATATGAGACAGGCAACAAGAAATTCGTGTTGTGTGGATTTTAAAATTAAGATTGTAATTGGATTTATCCGTGTGGATAATTGCGCGCAATCAGAATAATGAAAATAAATAATGGATAAATCATTGTATGCCCGAGGAGGTTAAAATAAAGGCTTAAGATGCTGGTTTGAGATGTTGATTCCTGTTTTAAAATTTCAAAAAATGTAATTAGTCAAATTTAACACTGTAACTCTTAAATAATAAAGATAAAAACACATTTCATTGTAAACAGAAACAAAAGAACGTTTTTTAAATAAAGAAAACAATGGGAAGGACGTGGGCCATGTTCAAGCCCTGAAAATACAAACATGGCACGTGGCAACTTTTATTCCAAACAACTCCTGGAATTTTGGAACAAAGGGTGTTACGGTTTGTGATGATGGGCTGTCAGATAAACGTGCCTGTGGTCCCATTGGACATTTTGTATTGGGGTTTCTGTAAATGGATCCGTAAATGGGTTGGTTTGGGAACCCAGGTCTGTAATAATGGTCTTTCTGTTTAAGTCCGTTCATCAGCACTTTCCTTTCGGTTCCTATCAGTTTTTTTCTCAGATGAGATCAGAATTAAATCAGTTTATAAAGTAAAGACCACCTTTTCCCGCACATAAACCTGCAATTAAGATTTACTGCTAATTCGACTGGAAACACATTTAGTGCCCATTCTCTATTTCTCTAAAGAGAGGTTGTCCCCCGGGTCAACGCCCCCCCTCCCCCAACCCCCTCCCTCGCTCCTGCGGTGATTCCAGCCTCTCCCCCTTCCCTCTACATCTTGTGCCTCTTCCTTCTCTGCTAGTTCTCCTCCCCAAAGATCCAGAAGCCAAAACCGAGGTCTCTCCCCTCTTTCGTTTCCTCACTTTGCCCTCACATCTTTTTTTTGGGGTGAACCCCATGACCTCGTCCCTTTCACATTTACTCAGCCCTTAACCTGATTGGTCTGTGACCGGTCTCACTGTCAGCATGAGCCTCTAAAGGTTTCATATATTTCACTAACAGGAGCCCTCACAAACAGGCCTCTGTCTGGGTCAGGCACTTTGCTCACACATTGTTACAAGGTGGCGTGATCGGTGGGGTGATATGTGACCTCACATCTCCTTCTACCCCCTTTTCTGTGCTGCTGCAGCGGACCATGGGTGGGAGCATCACAGAACACTGGTACAGGACATGGTATATATCGGTTCCACAGAGCCTACATACGACCCCGAAGAAAAAAAAGGGGGTCATGGGGTTGCATTGGGTGATGATTATGTTTTTAATAATGATTTTTACCAAATACAGTATAAACTATTGTGATGTGAACTAACTGAAATGTCTCACCGCAAACTAAAACTTCACACGGTACCCAGAATAAATCACTTCAGCGGAGAAGCTTTTCCCAACTTGTGTGTAATAAACCTGTGGCATTGAGTTGGAGTTGTCATGAATGTATTAGCTCTTCCTATCCAGCATTTGTTTCCAAAAAGGAATGCATGAGTGATTCACCAAACAGGGTGAGAGAGGCGGTGAATGTGTCTGATGCATACAATCTTTCACACGTGAAATGAAGGTCAGTATTAATTAATGTATTTAATGATATTTTTGAAGTTTTGAAGTCTAGCTAATCTATCCCTACACCTAATTTGCATCAAGCATTCTTGTTCTAGACCTAACTAAGTAAGTATTTCAATCTTTTAAAAAAAAAAGTTGTTTCCTATGAAAGTTAAAGTTCAATTAAAGTTTAAGTATGTCACAAGCAGAAATTGAGACATGTTTCTGGACTTCAATAGAAAAGAACTGAACTTTACAGAACGCTACAGAAATTGGTGGCCGACCACCCAATTTTGGCATTGGTAAATGGTGGGGCGACCATCCAACAACAACAATCAACAAACAACTCTGTTAAAGCATACTGACTGATAATGTTTGCCACCATTTCTACCGAGATGACATTAAACGTATTTATATTCTCAAACCAGCCAACCTAAATTCTTTGGACCTTATAGTTATAAATAAAGGTGAAACATGGTAATATTACTTTGTTTTAATAGCTCTTCGCCCCGATATCCCAGGTGTTTTGTAGTCAGATGTCACTTTAGCTTAGCTGGCTAACACCAGCGAAACACATGACCTTTTCTCCATCTCCCGTCGCTGTTCAATAGAACCAAACTCTTAAACTCCATCGTGTTGCCTCAATTTAGCTAGTTTTGTCAGTGAGCTTCACGTGGTGGCTCCATGCTAGTCTGCTAGCCACCTGGCATCGATGCTAATATGCCGGCTTTATCAGAACAAATGGTCCTCAGATTCCGATATGTACTTTGAACACAATGTAGTAACAGCAGATTTTTGTGTCGTGATAATGAGGAAAAAAAGAAAATGACTGAATAAATAAAATGCATTGCAATGAAGGGATACGGACCTGGGATGTCCTTCAAGAACTCGTTCAAATGCTGCAAACAAAATGGGCCCTTCAATCCGTGCAGCTCCAGGAGGAGAGAGGTGCTTAGAGAGCCAACGCCATGCCATTGGCCCCAGAAGAGCCGGTGATCCAATGATTGATGAGATGCTTAATGGGCCAATGTGGAAACAAAAAATCCAGGGAGGAAATGCCTCTCATCTCCAACCACTCATTAGCATTAGTGTAGGACAAAACGGTTGTTAGACACTGTATCGGCTGGTGTGTGAGTGTGCGCAAGCATGTGTGTATGCCGATGCATGTTTCCATCCCCGCACGTGCACATTTTTATGGGAGTGTTTGTGAGGAGGCTCACGCAAACACCACCTACTAATGGGAGGAATATTCGATAGGAGACACTTACACCACTCAGCTAGACCATAATGCGAACACAGAGCCATCCTCTGATCCAAGATAGTCTGCTTTCTTGGAATGTTAATTGGAGCATTAGCAGATGGTCTTTGTATTTTATTGGACTCTCTTTCCCGCAGAGGGAAGTAGTTATTTATTTTCTATGTAACTAGATACCGGGAAGGGGAGAATAGAGAAGCAGATTTAATGATTTTTTGAATGATCCACATCCCCATCGTCAACAAGATGCAAGTGCGAAACACTTTGAAAACTCGCTGTGTTTTAAACAGAAGTTCATGACTCATCTCAGTCTCCATCACCTTTTTTTTTTACCACCCATCAGGGCCTCCGAAGCAAAGTGTGCGTGGCAACAAAGCCAAGCCTTTCTTGGAAATGACCCACAAGTGAATCATGATGGGCTTGAGTGGCCTTTGAAGTCAAAAAGAAAAAGAGGCCTTTAGGAGAAAGGGTGGAGAAAAAAAAACTGTCCACCCTCACTTTCCCTCCTTTTTTCCAGTCTCTTTGTGTCCTCTGTGAACTTGCTCTGCTTGGATGAGACACAAAGGCTCCTGAGGAGAAAAGGCCCCCAGAATCGCAGCGGCCGCCACACACAGATTCTTTGACTGGAGCCGGCCGTTGGAGCACTTGTGCTCGCTCTCCACTAATGTGTGTGTGTATAGACCCCCACCTTGTGTAATCTATTGCTTCTCATTCCCACATTGAACCGAAA